GTCATTTTCACACACACACACACACACACACACACACACATATATATATAAACAAACATAATTAATTATGTAATTAATTGAATAATACCCTATTATAAGTACTACTACTCCCTATGTTGCTTAAGTTAATGAATATATGTTGAACCATATGGGAGATGATTGCCGACAATTGCATTCCGATTTCTGGTTATAGCATGTTGAGATTGTCTTTAAATAAAGACAACCCTAACTCCATTGATCAAGTTGTAAGTATATATATACTATAGTCAATTGTTTATAAATCTTAAAAAGGAAATTAAATTACAATTTTGGAGGAAAGTAGAGTATGTATTACACTCCCGGCCTCCGTCTAAGTGTGTATTCATACAGTTTGATTTTTTCGAATCAAGTTGAACAAATTTCGATCATCAATTACTCTCAATTTGTATTGTATGTGAATAAGAACTTTGGACCTTTATTAAATTAAATAATATTGTAACTTATATTAGTATATAGTTATTTTATTACGACATTTATGTAGTTGCAACTAAATAAATCTAATTAAATTTTTTTCATACTAATATAGGTAAGAATTTTTGTAATTAAAATTCAAAGTTTTTCTAGTCTAATTCAGAAAAATTAAACTGAACAAATATATTAAAGAAACATATGTGCACACAAATAAGGGAATAACTACACATTCAATTTTTTTACCAATTTTTTTTAATTAAGCATTCAAAACAGACAAATTAAGTGAGGGAGAAGTAGCTAGCTAGGAATTGAAATTGTGCAGACAAGTCTACATCTAAACTAAGGTTGGACATAGAAAATGGTTAATTAGGTTTGGCTTTCCCATCTTCTTGTTTCTCTAATTTCAACCTTCCATCATTTAAATTAATTAATGAACGCCTCCCTTTTTTGAAAAGATCCACTCCACATTCTCTTTCTCGATCACTATATGGACCAATGGGATGCCATATTCACAATGAAAAAATTGGGGTTTGATAATGAATATGGAAGCAATACACCTTTGCCTAGTCCTTAGGTTTGTCCAACCAAACAAAGGGGATACTTGATTATTAGTGTCATGCTAGATTACAAACTTTTGGTGGTGTGATCAAATTTTGAGAGTAGATATATTATTAGGGGGTTTGCAGGAATCATTTAAACTGAAATCAAACAAAATAAATTTAAATATGTTTTTAGTTCCCCTAAAATGGATGATATTTGTTTTTAGTCCCCACTTCTAAGATATTACATGAATGACCCCTAATTTTTGAAAATTATTGTATAACTGGTTTTGCAGAGACTATATGTGAAAAGAATATTTTGATATATTTGGCCTAAAGGAATGTCTATGAAATAGTTTTCAAAGATTAGAAACCATTTATGTAATAATGTAATATCTTAAAATTGGGGAGTAAATCTGGAAAGCCATCAGTAATTAAGGACTATTTATGAAATTTACTTTATATTATATCTCGAGGAAGTTTTAGAATCGGAGATATAATATGAATAAAGACACAATTTAGAGCATGAAGATTTTGTCGAAAATAATTAGAGATATAAGACTAGTAGGGTGTTGAATATGAGTTAAATTTCTTGTCCAAAACTAATCAGAAATGCTAATTATGTTTAAAGATCTGTTTCAAAATTAAAAATGAGAAAGTTCCCTAGATAGGGGTAAAAAACTATGAAAATACCAAAATAGGAGTCATATGTCATTTAAGACCAAAATAAAAGATCATACTTTCATCGTTACACTGCCACACTCACCACATTGTCATATTGTAACTGTCACATTCTAATTGTAACATTATCACCGCCACACTGCCATCCGTCGCTGTCGGCCATCAGAGTGCCGCTGCAGATCACCGATGATTAATTGATCATACTGACATATTACATTGTCAACACTTTTCCATCGCACTGCCAACACGTATTCTTACGCCACTATGCCATTAAACTTCTATTTTGATCTTGAAAGACATATGACTCTTTTTTTTGGTATTTTCAAAACTTTTTTACTCTTATCTAGGGAGATTTATTTTAAAAAATTTCTAAGGGTGACTTATCAAAAAAATTTACAGAGATCAAAAATTAAAGTTGCCTATTTTACCGAGGCTAAAAACATATTCAACCCAAAAAAATATTAGTCTCTCTAATTGGAAATTTACTTCTTATTTGATTTTTCAGTTTCTATTGAAATATTTTAAGAAAAATGCGGAGTATAATATTTCAAAACATATCTATTAATATTAAATTCATAACATCTCACCATGTATATTATCATATTTTGAGGTCAATGCTTTAAATTTATGACATATTAAGAAATATTCTCTTCGTCCCACAAAACATTTCTAATTTTAACTTTTAAAGAATTCAAAGGGAAAGTATTTTTGGTGTTGACTTTCCAAAAATATCTTTCGATGTGATGAGTAAAAGTAAGATGTGATGGTAAATTAATAGTAAAAAAGTGTAATGTGATAGTTTGGTTAAAAATTACTATAGGTAAAGTGTTTTTTAAATAAAAACGAGAAATATTTTTCGACATAGATGAAAAACGAAAAAAGAAAAGTTTTGTGAGACTCATGAAGTATCAAATGATAAGAAATTTTTTTTATTGGAGGTAGTATATATAGTGTTCAAAATTCAAATAGGCCTAATGTCATAAAACGATACGGACTTATTGTTAATGTTAAAAAATAATTACCTAGCTATTCTTATACGGAGTATTAGTTATATATACTGCGTATGTATAGACGGAGTATTAGAGAGTTATTTTTAATTAGCTCCAATTAATCAACTCCTTTTTTTATATACCAAACTTAGCCTAATAATTCATCAAGAGTCAAGACGCAATACTTCTTATATATGGAGTATATATATTACTTAATTATTTAGCTTTTTCGATCTCGATATATATATATATATATATATATATATATATATCTTAATTATTTAGCTTTTTCTCCTCAGAGGTTGAAGTTAATTTATATACATAGAAAAGGAGTGAAAAAAATGGTGGAAAGAGAGATCTGTGTTGACTTAAACATCACCCCTTTGGATGAAGAAGAAGAAGATGATTATCATATGGATCCAAAAACCATTTGGAGCTCATCAAGTAACGACGACGACCATGCCATTGGTGATGGCGATCATGATCATGCAGAGAAGATGAAGATGAAGATGAAGATGAAGATGAAGAAGGGAGAGATGATGACGGTGACGAGGATGATGAGCTCATCATTATCATCATCGCCGACGTCGTCCTCTTCCTCGAGCAACAACACAAGTAGCGGGGTAGTCGTACGCCAATACGTGAGATCGAAGGTTCCGAGGTTAAGGTGGACCCCTCATCTCCACCATTGCTTCGTCCAAGCCGTGCAACGCCTCGGCGGCCACGAAAGTAAGTAAAGTATATAGGGCTTCATATTTTCTGGGACTGCTTGGTCAACAAGTCTATCTGATATCATATTAAAGCTAAGAATCAACTCTGACAAAAGCTTGTAGACCCAGAAAAGATTTTTCGATATATATATATATATGTGTGTGTGTGTGTTATATTTTAAGGTAATTTAAGAACAGAAGTTTGACAAGATTTTTATAATTAACATGTAGGGGCAACGCCTAAGATGGTTTTGAAGCTAATGAACGTAAAGGGACTAAGCATTTCTCATGTCAAGAGCCACTTGCAGGTGAATATTTATTTGTTCGCTTATATTTATGTGTGGTAATTTACGCAAATAGACTTAAACATATCACTATTTTCTAAATATGATAAATGTTATCTACTCTAATGTTTGACAATAAAAAGCTCTAAAATGTACTGTCTTTGAGAAAAAATGATCTATTACACAATTCAAGTAGAATAAGACATTATTAAAACCAATTTGAATAGTCATTGAAATAATTAGTTACTATCCAACACTTGTTGTTAATGACCATATTTGTAGATCGAGTCATTCATATAATCAGTCATTATCTAACACTTGTTATTAATGACAACATATATCGGAGAAGTTATGTAATTGTAGGGTTTTTGCTTAGCTTGATTGATAATGTTACGTTTTCAATGATTGATGAATATAGTTGGGAAGCATTTAATAAGGGGTTTTGTCATTTTTTCAACAGATGTACAGGAGCAAGAATGTTGATCATGCTGATGAGCAGCACGGCCATGGTGAGAAATAGTGGCGACTCACATCATCATGCTTTCATTACAATTAATCTCATTTTATTACATACGGATCCAAGTACATTTTATTCAGCTCAAAATGAACAATTTTTTGTCTCTGTCTCTGTGTCTAACACTGCTCGGTGTAGCAGTGGTGTACACCTAACATAATCTGTCTCACAAAATTTTTCTCCTTTTTTTTTGTTCTAACAAATCTTTCTCATTTCACTCTTACTCCTAATATTCTTAACATACCTATCACATAACATTTTTTACTATTAATCTATCCATCACATCTACTTTTACTCATCACATCCAAGGGCATTTTTGGAAAGTCAATACCAAAACACATTTTCTTTAAATCCTTTAAAAGTCAAAACCAGAAAGGTTTGGTGAAACGGGGAAAGTCGTTTTTAGTGATAATTATAATTTTTAATAGGTATATAAAGCTAATGTAATAATTACATTTTTTTTTAATTTTGACAAAATTGCTAATTAGTGATGAAAGAGGGAGCAGTCTACAACTTCTGGCAATTGCCTGCAGCCTTTGATCAAAGAATAATGAGATCCTTCAGGTAATCAAAGTCTTGATGTTTCATATTGAGGTTAGTTCAATACAACAATTCCAATTAATTGAGCTGGGACAATGTTGTTAGACTGAATTCCACATAGCTACATCGGAAGTCTAAGAGTAAAATAATCTGTATATAAGCTCTTGCGTTGATTAACTAATTGATTGAATTCAATTTTTTAAAGTAGTTTAGCCCAAGTGGCTTATGGCCCAATCCAGTTATACTACCTTGTCTTAAATTTTACGGAGTATCAAATATAATACCCATACCGTCCCAATGTTTTATTTTGCATTGACTTTAAAGTAGTTTAGCCCAATGTTTTATTTCACATTGACTCTACATGGATTCTACAGATTTTTCAAATCTATTAACCTTTTGAAATCTAAAAAAAATCTAATAAAATTCTAATTGAATATGCCCTCCTAAATAAACTTAAATTATCAATTACTCTATATTTTGATTGCAGGAGGTGGCCATATGATAATTCTTGGAGCAGTATTAGTGTAAACTACTGGATGTCTACAAGGAACAACATGATAATGAATAGAGTGAAGAACAAGTTGATGATCTTCAAAACCCCAATGTGGGGAAGTATCACACACCAAGATGAACTTGTTCATACAATGCCATCACTACATGATGATCATGATCATGATCACTTACAAGGACCATGTTTAGTGAACAAAAATAATAATGGACTTTCTTATTATTGTTCTCCGCTATTCGCCAATTCGAGTAGAACCGCAGGCGAAAAACCGGTTGACTTGAAGCTGAGAATGAACATGATGGACTTGATGTTGAGAGATCATGATGATGATGATCAAGATGATAATTATGAAGATGAAAGGAACAAGTTATTATATTGCAAGAGAAGGTGTTTGGATGATGATGATGATAATAATAGAGAAGAAGTTGTGGATGGCTCTTTGGCTCTTTGTTTGTCATCTTCAAGATTATCTAATTATTAAGTTTGCTTTCTAGTTAAATTTAAATAAATTCATGCTTAATATATAAGGATACTTTTAGATAGAGTTCATGCCATCAAATAAATATAAACATCTTTACAAATATAACATGGTGAGACATTCGTTTAATTTCCGATACTTGCAACAAGAAAGGCAATATTATATATATTCTTATATATATTCTTGCATGTTTAACTATTTTGTTGTGATTTGATTTGTTGTGTGTACTTGAACGTTACGTATTGGTTACTTGATTTGAAAACGTGTGGGATGGATAGACCTCATCAAAGTGTCGGCCGGCCAAGATGTGACATTACAAGAATTTTCTTGACCCGAGCCCGGCCTAGGCTGTATAGCGAGCCTAACAGTTAAAACCTGAGCCCGACCTGCACGGGTACCCACGGTGTTCGAGTCGGCCCGGTTTGCATAGGCAACCACTTCTTACTCCTAATAATTAAAAATACTAATTTTTAAGCAAAATGTTAGGTTATATTTTGGACATGTTTTATCCTTTATTCACTCTGCTCTTTTGGTAATTTTAGACTTATTCTAGCATTTTTATTATGACTTTTATCTATCTATTCTTTATGTGGTCAAAATATATTTTGTGCTTAATTGATTTATTTTAAATTAGTTTTATGTTTTGACAGTATTATAGTCTGTATGTTTTATTTGTAGTCAAGATGCAAAATATGGACTAAAAGAGCGGTGTTATTGGACCAAGATGATTCAAAGAATTATGGATCCAAGAAAAAAATATACTTCATTAAAGCCCAAATACATTTCCCAGAAGTCTTGGAAGAAAGAAACAAAAAAAATTATAGAGTCCAATTAAGACTCTCAAAGTCTCAAGTCCAAAAAGCCGCAAAAAAAAAAAAAGAAAAGAAAAAAGGAGTTCGGCCTCGGCCAGAGCTCTCTTCATCTGATTTTTGTTCTATTATTTCAATTATGATTTCTTATTCTAGAATTATGATTCGCTGGATTCTTAATTTCCCATTTCAAGTTAATACTCTATGATTTGATTTATGAGATTTTATGCTTAATGATTTATTTGCCATGGTATTGTATATTTTTTATTGGATTTATGAGTTTGATTAATTTGGATGCATACTTGTTAATTAATCTTGTGAGTTTACTGCTAATTTAATTCTTGGTTGCTTGATTGGGATTTCATTCTAGTAGCAATTAGGTCTTTTTAAGAAAAATATAGATGTGAATTGAATGTTTGTCCGTTTAGAAGAATGTTATTTGTGAGTTGGCTAAAAATTTAGTAAACTTAATGCAATTGAACCTTGAATTCTAGGTGTTCATTATAGAGTTAGGTTGTCTCTTAGACTTTCAAATAGGCTTAACTGGCGGCCTTTGCCATTTTTAAATATTTTAGGTGAATTAAAAATTATTGTGTGTTTGTAAATAATCTACGTCAACCATCTTGATAAATAAATATCTTTTGTACTTTAAAGTCAAAGTAAACTTGCAACACGAAATTGACGTGGGTGGACTTGGGAGGATAGGATAGGTAGAGGTTGGGATTGGGTGTAAGGTTTATAAAGGATTAGGAGAAAAAATTATCAATTTTACGTATAAAGCACCATAATAAGTGTCCGAGTTGAATCAGTGTCCTCCAATCCAGGCCAAAAGAGTTCAGTATAATCGAACAGTATATAGAAATGTACATTTATGAGCAACACTATACCGGTTTTAATGTGGCGGCATAACTTAGTATGGTGAATATATATATATATATATAGAACATCTCGATCTATATATATGACTTATGGCTGGTGTAGCCCACGGAAATCAACGGTGGTCAACGGTGGAGTCTTGACTTTCCGATGCGCCGGTTTCCCGCTTCCGCTTGAGAAGAGGAACGGCAACGAGGAAGAAAAGGAAGAAGAAGAAGAAAATGGTTATCATGGTGAAGGCGATGATCTCTCCCTGCAAGCCGTAGTGCCGGTCATTGAGTAGCCGGAGATCAGCATGGTCTTGCTCCGGCGGATTGCTCGTCCTCCACGGTGGCTCAGCCGCCGCCGCCTTAGATATCATTAATTATTAGTATCTTACTATCAGACTAATTATATGAGGGGAGTGGAGCTTGTTTCGTCTTTACCTACCAAGTTCCAAATACCAAGAAGACATTATTCTTTCTAAACCTACGGGATCTTATTTATGTGTTTAATATACTCTGTGATCACAAATTAAAAATAATCTTATTTTAATACTCTTTGATCACAAATTAAAAATAATCTGAAATAAATAATTTTTGCATATATGTGATATATCAAAGCTACATTTTATAATAAACTCAACTATATCAAATTTACATTCTAACCAAATACGGAGTATAACTTTTCATAGGGTTTGGTCTAAAACACACTATGAATCATATAATACTCCATCCGTTCTAAAAAACACTTTCTCTTTCATTTTTTTCACCTTCCAACAAAACACTTTCACTTTCTATTAAAAAACCACTTTTACCCTTACTTTTTCATACCCTACCTATCACATCATACTTTTTCTCTAATAATCTACTCATCACATTTTACTTTTACCCATCACATCAAGAGCAAAATTGGAAGTCAATTACAATTTAACACTTCCTTATTTTTCCATTTTTTCAAAGTAGGAACTCTTTTTGAATACGGAGGGAGTAAAATTAGAAATAATTAACATGAATTCATTTAAAATTATCATAATCAATCAATTTGATGTTTTGATGCGTGACACTTTTAGAGTTGGTGGATTAGTGATGGTGGTTAGTGATATCAAATCACCTAAAAGTGATTTAAAATTGCTTAAATGGAAGGCTCCCGTGTATATATCAATGTTTTGAAAATCGGACCGGACGTCGAACCGGCGAAGCAAGTGGGTTAAGGGTCAACCGGTTGAACCGGGTTGAATCGGGTCAACGACTCGGTCAACATATCCATACCTATTTCTACAAGTGTTCGTATATAATCCGTATTATTTAACATTTCAAACGTATATTTAGTTGATTAAAATTAAAAAAATAAAGATAAATCGTAATATATTAATTTATAATTACTTGATTTTTAAAGATAATAATGTTTTTAGATAATTTATAATTACTTGATTTTTAATTATTTTCAAAGTTCGAAAATAAGTTTACATTATAGTAGCATGACTTTCTTTTCTAAATAATTGAAGGTTTTTTCAAATATATACTACTACACACAAGCTATGAAACAAAACGTGTAATAGCCGAGATGGCTAGGCCTACTGGGTACATAATTACTACACGCTGAAAGCTCCAGACCCGCGAACCGGACAGGTCGATCCGGGTTGGACGGTCCACCGGGTCAACTGGGTTTCACCGGGTTTTGATATAAACGGGTTTTAGGATAGAACCGGACCGGACAAATAGCTGGGTCACGGTCCACCCGGTTGGACCGGCCGGTCCGGTCCGGGTTTAATTACATTGGTATATATACAACCTCCCTCAGTTCATTAAAACTTCTAATGATATAAGGTATAATCAGCAGTATAATTAAGATTTTTTAAAATAATAAGTCACGTGTTCAAATCCGAGTGGGAATGTTGATTTTGTATGCTTTAGTAAATTAAAAATATACTCCAAAAGTTTTTTTTACAAACTAAATGATGACATGAATATTTTATTTTATCAAATAATCAATAAAAACGTAAAATAAATAAAGGTTCCCGTGATTTTTAAATAGTAAAGTGTTGTTTACATTTTGGGACATAGAGAGTTTATCATTTCAACCTAATTATATTTATACATTTCTTTCCATCATACTAAGTGATGGACAATAAACCCACCAGGCGCGGTATTTGGGCCGCCCGTTGGATATCAGCTCATCACTAAGAAATTTGAAGTTGTGCAACAAAAGAATTAAAATATAAAAGTTGGCCTTGCTTTATTTTCGTGCACATTTTTCTTTCNAATTTGCAGCCAAAAATCACATCTCACAACATCAAGATCACAGTTCCCATATCAATAGTCCAAGACCATCATAATCACAAACTTCACCCCCCCCCCATTATTTTGAACAGAACTCTCATTTGGCTCGGCAATCCTAGTAAGATATCAAACTTGGCAATCATAGTAAGGTATCGGCTTAGATCAAGTAGGCGTTATGACTTATGAGGTCGTATCCGTTTGGAACCCTGTACATGATCTATTGTGTCTGGTTTATGTGTGTAATGAAGTTGGGGTTTCCTATACGGAGCTCTACTCATTCGTAGCAGTGGAAGAAAATGGTGACAAAACCCGAAGAACCCTTGCTCTATTGCGTCTGGTTTAGAAACCTCATATGAAGCAGAATAATTTGAATATTTGATGAAGAAGCAGGGCAAATATATTCCTGAATTTGTGCTCCTGATTTAAAGAGATTGAGATTTCAAGGAATTTGTGAACTATAGATTCCAAAGAATTTTTTTTGGAAAAATTACAGTAAGATTTTAAGAACCTTGGGCTTGTTTGTCGTTGCAGAAGGAAAAAACAGCAAAGCCCTTCTGGTTGGAATGAGGAATGTATGGTTTATGCCAGAAGGGGAGGTACGGTATCAATATTACGAGTATGAAGAATAACAATGGGTTTGAATATCAAAAAACTGCTAACCAAACCAATATGATACCCCGCCAAACCAAACAGGCCTCAAACTTTTGGATAATTCTTTAGAGTTAAGAATGTAAGTCAGACACATGATTAGTGAAGAAACATCAATGAATTTACCTCTATGTGTGGAATTTCGTTGAGTGGCCTGTCAGCGAAATAAGCATACAAAGCTCGCAATACTGCCTGTGAATAAATGAAAATGAACCCCAGACATGGTTAGTTTTCCAAGTATAATATCCATAGAAGATGGAAAGGAGGGAAGACAGACTTTAATCAAAGGAATTACTTGGTGAGATATCACAACAACAGGTGCTCGTTGTCGTTCAAGCTCTATAATAACAGGCTCCAACCTGCAACACAAAAAATGAGCTTATATTAAGCTAGTAGGATTCTTTTAGCCTTTGTTTGGTTCAAATGAGGGAAGGAACGAAGAATGGAAGTGTTAAAGAAATGTAATGGTTGATTCCATGAACTAGTGAGGAGAAATCAATACTTCCCAAATGTATAAAAGTATTATACTCCGTACTTTATAGTTATCGATTTTATCATAATTAGTATAGAAAAATTTGTCTGGAATAATCATATCCTAAGTTTGCTCTGACAAACAAAAACAATCCTAAGATTCAATAATCAATACTGCTCCCAAAATGGTTCCTAAAGTAACAAGGTTGACATTAGATCACAGAAAATGGCATGACAAGAATGGGGTAGAATATTAACATGTGGCAAGTTGGATCTCTTTCCCTTTTCCTTCTTCCTTTCTCCCTGTCCACGGAAGCCAAAAAAAGCTGCAGCCCCTCCACCCTCCCCAAATCATCATCATATTCATATTCTCATCGACTCATCCCTACATCTCATTCATCATTATCAACCCCGTCTCACTCATCCACTTTCCTCGCATCCCCTTCAAAGTCCTCCAACCAAAAAAAGGCTTAGAAAAGTATAGAGGCACTGCACCTTTGGATAACATCCAGGTACGATTCCCCTCGTGGATATCTATACCTCAATTTGTCCTTTTTGCGTGACCTGAAAATTTTCAATGATTATTAATAATAATGCCTTTAACGGAAAAAGCTCACAACTACTAAGGTATTACAATAGTGAAATTTGCACTAAATAGTACTAAAACATATGACATTTCTCAATGTAATACTTAAACTTTTTTATTCCCTAAATAGTACTTGAATAATGTCTAATGGCGGGAACAATGTCCAGTGATGGTGGATATTTAGCTTGAACAATGTCCAGTGGCGGTGGACATTTACTTGAAGTCTTGAACAATGACCAGTGGTATTACATTGGAAAATAAAAACATATGGTACTACATTGGGAAAGTCACCGTGTTTTAGTACTATGTAGGTAAAATCCCCATTACAATAACATTAATTAGACATAATAAAAGGTTACAACATACTCATATTCTTCAGGCATATTTTTCTTTATTTCATCATATGTCATTCCATCGCATACACCAGCATTTATCTCATCAAGAGCGCGCCATTGTATCTGCACGTAGATATTTGAAATGATATCAATAACAAATCCTTATAGCCAATAAGACAATGAATATTCCTTAATGAGCAGAAAAGGGTATTTTGTTAGACATGCCAACCTTGGGAAATCCAACAATTGAGTTAGCTGTCATAATTGTTCTTTGCAATGTGCTAGTCCATATCTGTGACAGAGAAATTAATGGATTGATACAATGGACTCCAACTGGAGGAATTCAAATGATAATCATGGTAAAAGGTACATTCTAGAACCATATTCTTGGGAAGATTACAAAAATCTATTAGCTAGTCAACCAAAGATCTTGTACAGGTTCTCATAGAAGAAAATGCAAATGAAGAAACATAAAGTTCACTTGTAAAGCTGACTTATATAACTTACAGTAGCAGCCCTCTCACTTTTCAGCCTCTTCTGAATAAAATTAGCAAGTTTCTTTGAGTAAAGCTTCCCTTTATCACTGTTAAAGGAAAAGAATTGATCATGAACCACAATGGCCTTTTTATCTGTGCATAATAATATATGTAAAAACACAGCTTTCCTATGGTCTGTTTGGATAGGGGCATTTCATTTGTAAATTTGGAATTGGCCCAATTCCCTTGTTTGGCTAGTTTTGGGATTTTGAATTGGGCCATATCCGCCTCATGTTTTAAAAAAAGTATGATGTTTGGAAGTCTAAATGACTTCAAAACCCAGGGAATTTATATTTTGAATTCTAGGATTAGAATTCTTGAAGTTTGAAAAAAGGATTTGGATTTGCAATTCTAGAATAGTGAAATTTAAGTGATTGCCAAACAAAGAATTGGAGTCCTAAATACATTATTTTAAATTATGGAGTTCCTCCACCCCAAAACTAAACTCAAAAAGAATAATCACGATATCACATGTCAAAGTATTTTTCTTTTATACTCATTTTGGTAAATCATTTGTTAAAAAACAAAGTTATGTCACCTAGAAGGGAAGCCATGGCGCAACAGTTTAGTTGTTGCCAATTTGCCATGTGATCGCGTGGTCACGGGTTTTTGTGGTGGGACCCTTTCCGAGGCGGGGTTGTTGTCGGGACGCTTTGAGCACCCGGCTTTAACATAGCCATGTCACATCTTGTTTTATAGAGCATTTGATGTAGTTTTTAAATATATAGTACCTCCATCCCAGGGTATTTATCTAGTTTTGACTTTTTGCAATCAAAATTGATAAACTTTGACTATTAATTCATATATTACTCGTATGATTTTTATTTAATTATTGGTCAAAGATTGATCTTGGTTGACTATTTTATCAGATATTGATACAAGAATTATTTTATTATGTTTATCTTGTAATATATTTTCAAAATATTATTTTATCTAATGAATATATCATGATTTTCATTTAACTATGGGTCAAAAGTCGTTCATGGTTGACTACAAAAAGTCAAAATTGGCACAAATACTCTTGGACAAACGGAGTAAATGTTATTTTAGAGTAATTTACCATTATTAAAAAAATTGAATTGAAAATGAATTCAGTAAACCATCGTAACCTGTATTGTAATTTAGTTATGGGATGAAGGAAGTGTGTATTTCAAATGAAATCACCTCATCCAAACACGCCCTCGGGGAAGAGTGGGTTTAGTGAGTTAAAAGAGCATATTGCTTCTCAAGGTTAATAGGCATATAGTTTCAAAGCAGCATTGAAGATACTGCAAGCTAAAGAAGCGAAGACAAGTATACTTCAGATACATTATATACTATTACTGGAAAGGATCATTAAAAAAGTAAGGAAACACTCTATCCATCCTCTTTTTATTGGTCAAACGCCCTTTCGGGGTGCTGTTTAAGAATTGGGTGGTATCAACTTTGAAGGAAGTAATTGCCAGCAACATTATATGATGGAGAGTAGAAGAGTCCTCTTTGGAACATTTAGATATATTAGTGGGTTAAAGCGCAAATCATGTTTTTTAAAAACTGTCTAGTCAATTGAAGAAGTACCTTATAACAGTGTCGCCCCCTATTCTGCCTCTTACATTGTCTAGACTCTCTCCATGCCTAGTTAGCAATATTGGACGGGGTGTCAGATGTGTATTTACCTGCATAGTAGCAGTTAGTGTTGAACCTCTTTTCACTAGGCAGTTGAACTTGAGACCTTACTGTAGCCAAAATGACCAGATCTGCAGTATAAACGCTTGAAAGTAAAGTCTCTGAGAGTCAAGAGTGAGTTTAATGGTGATCCAAATTGGGCTAGGAGGACAAACATCCATTCACTGAGAGAGACGGCAGATAGACCACCTTTTGGTGTATAACTGAGTGAGAAAGCTAAACCAACACCAAGGAAAAAGGTTTATAACTGCTGTTATTATATACTCCATACATGGACTGACTAAAAGTAAAACATTAGCCAGTTCGATTTTAGAAGTGCTTGCTATTTGATAATACATTGATTAATGAAAAACAGGTAACTTGAAAAAGTAATGGATTATAAGAACTCATAACATCTCACACGGGAATTGGGAAGAGAATTTCTTTGATATCATCGAGTTAAGATGGTTGCTTCTTTACTTCTTACTCATTTATTTAAAGTATATGGACTCAACTGCAATCTTTACAAGCATTGCAGTTAGGGAGAGTAGACAATGGATATTGGATACTAAGAACTAACATATGACACCTAATATTGGATTGAAGAACATATGGCATACCAAGAAAAAGACAATTCGCCCTGGAAGATAGCCACTAATATTGTTGACCTGCCCACGAGAAAAATGTGTTGTTAGAAATGTATGCAATGCAGTATGCAGAGACTGATAAGGGCTCCAGTTTTCAGCTTATGAAAAGAGAAAAAACCTAACACCCAGAAATGATCTTTATCTAACATTATCATTAGATAAGATGTTGAATTGCGAAAAATACATTTCCCCAAAAGAATGATATGGAGTAATCAGCAAATTATCAGTAATCACAGGCTCCAAGGCATTGAACTATGTATTTCTCATAATTTGTTTCAAACATCAGTAACTAACTACATCCATTTACTGAATCGACAGTGCTTCATGTAGTGTGTCTTGCCAAACTTGATTTTTTCGTCAAATACATAACTTTGGTACCAACTACAAACGCTACTAATCACATAGCCTTAGTGTCTTGCCTCGTAAAAAGCATTGAAGGAGTAAGCACTAAAAATTATGTTACCGATATTGTACATCTTTAAATTTCAATTGTGTAAAGTACACATTTAATGAACTTTAACATGCTGCATAATCCTTGGAATTGCATGGAAAAAATATTCCTTAAGACAAAATGAAAACATATAAAAAGAAATGAGGACACTTACTCGTATTTGCCCGCCTTTGCCACTCACCATATCAATCATTTTTATATAAGATCCTTCTTCCACTGGCTCATACACCTTAAATAAATGAAAAATTATCCTGAATTATGACAAACACTCATTTCATTATTTAAAAGGTATTTAACCAAAAGTTGACACAAGATGTCTAAGAAAAATTACTTCCTCATAGTTATCTAGTCGACTTTTGAAATCCTTATATCCAGCTTCAAAATCTGTTCTGCATGTCAATACATTTAAATAGCATACCTTTGATAAATACTTGCGAATAATTTTTCTATAAGCTAAGTCTCTTAAACATTTAAGACTTGATGCAGCAACCATACTCTTCAGCATAATCTGGGCTTTGTTGAACTTTGAGACGTATGTTTCTTTCAATTATTTTTGGATCATTACAGATTGTTTCCAGGAAAATCATCTGCAAGTGAAATAAAACAATATGATATATGATGCCTCTATTGAAGGCGCGCTTTCTTTTTTTAAAATTTTGATCAGTAGTTTCTATGAGCTAAATCTTCCAACCACCCCACCCCCCCACCCCCAACGGTGTGGCATGGGAGCTAGGCTCACGCCTTTGGTGGTCAACTTTTAAGGTGACCACCTTTTCCCCACCATGCTGCTTTGTGGGGAGCTTTTCCACTGCCTCACGCTTAGGCAACACCTTTTAGAACAGATCCTTAGAGCAACGAAATAACTCCCCATACTAGCTAGCACTATCATATATGGTGTAACGAACTACTGCATCCTCTAATAGTATGTGATCGAAATGCAGTAGAAGGTCAGACTCATGACTTAGAGGACTGCAGTAACTGGTCTAAAAGAAGTGCACAATCAAGTGATTGCAGAAAAAAGTACATAGTATTTCAATCTAATTTTGATAACTGAAGCATTCCACTTAAATCTAGATTGATTGAAAAATTGCTGCCCTTTTGTTTTTCAAAATTAGTATTTGGGAAAAAAATAGCATTTGGAATGGTATAGAAAATGGGGACTCCACAAGCACCTTGCATTTTCCCTCAGCCATTTTCATAAGCATATTCCTTCTGCTCCTCGTACTGTTTGTTGCATCAAATATCCCCACCTGCTTCAAGTAAGATTATCATTATTGGAACCCCAAAAGATAAGAACTCTTCTATGATAATAAATCACTTACCTGTCCGCCCTCTTGCATCCAAGCTATCATGTCTTCCATGGCAAGGGCAGCTACCTAAGTAGCACGGGCTGTATTAAGACTATGCGCAAGGGAAAAGGCCAATGGAACATAAAATGAAAATGAAATAACAGAAATATGAAAACACAACAGAAAAATCAATATATGATACACAATCAACAAGCCAAAAAAATCAACATGACCGATTGAGCATAACACTATAACAGAAACACAATGCATATTCATGATGATTTACCTCATTTCGTGCCTCCAAGCCTTCAGGATTATCACCTCGGAAAAAATCAGCAGACTGCAATATAAAGTGTAAAAAAAAGTTGCTATAGTATTCCTGTAATATCTATCGATTCTTTTTCAAGCTTTAAGTTTCATTTGGGTGGAATGTCTGGAATGCTGATCTTGTTATTGTATTATCATTGTTTAAGTGAAAATGGAAATAAGTAATAACATATGTAGTATTTAATAAACAATTAACCATTTGACCCCCAATAAATTGAAGGACAAAATAAAATCAAAGTTCTCTGGTAAAAACTACAACGAAGTTAATGTAAGCATGTAACTTTGTACGAGGCAATTCATGAATTCTTTATTTTGTTTTAATAAGCTATCCATTGGGGGTGGTCACATGGCATATGTATAGAACATGCTTTCCTTCCAAAAATATCTTCAATATAAATTTTTTAGCCCGAGTAATATAGTCCAAGCCTGGACTGAAAATAATTGAGGCCCGGTTCATGTTAAGCATTTACTATATGGTCAAAACTCCTACAAATGTTTCTTACAAAAAAATGATCAAGAAGTGGAATTTTTTTAACATGAAGATCCCCTTAAGAAGACAATTAGTGAAGGCTGCAAAACAAAGTACAATACATGAATTATATTACTCAATGTTAAAATGAATAGGTAAATATCTCTGCAAATGATACCATCTCGTACAACCACATGGCTAGACATATTCATTCCACTAAAAACTTATTAATTACCCACAAAACCAATTACACAAATCCATGCAACCATTTAGGCATGGAGAGAGTATGTATTTTTATTTAATTCAGTAATTGGAGGGTGGTGCGTCTAGGTGTCCGGGGCACATGTTTGGTACCTATGGTAACCAAAAAATGTCTCTAATGATCAGTAACGAGAATTAGGATGCTATCCAATGAATATCTCTGGTTTACAAAATGCTTGGCAGCAAAAGAAAAATACCTGATTGGTTCCATGTTTGAGACGCCGATACTGGTAAACAAAGATAAACAAACAAACAAGTCCCTGTTATTTCAAGTGCATAAGGAAGTTGATAATAAATATAAATGGGAGCATCAAATACCTTCCCAACATTGAAATGCTTGGTCTGGTGCCCTAACCATCGAAGATATCTAGTAAGTTTAGCTGCAGTAAATGTTTTTCCACGAGCTGGCAAGCCAACCTGCATTAACAAGCAAATTTTAAGATTATTCTTCATTAGTTTCTCAAACTCACAATATCATCTCATGTGAAGCTGAAACTCTTTCAATTTATATTTTCCAATAACAACTACGCCCAATAGAATCCCACGAAAGTAGGGTATGGGGAGGGTGCATGTACAGAGATCTTACCCCTACTTAAAAGTAAAGAGGCTTTGTTTTCTCAAGTACTATTTAAATCATCTCAAAAGCAATGATACTCTGACAGTCACATAAGAAAAATACCAGGACAATTGCTAGATGTCTATCCTCCTTGGGCCAAAGCATCTGATCTGCTATTGCTGCAGCTGCTACAGCTCCTGCCGCAGCTGGCATTCGATTCTAAGCAATAGCAGCAAAGGATCAGTCGCATGAAATGGAATCTTCAGAACATAACTAGTAATTGTGATCGGAATAGTAAAAACCTTGGTTTCTGAATTAAGCTTTAGGTCAATAGTGAATGTGCTAGCTGATTTCACTAGTCTCGGGAACCCCACACCCCTATCCACAAGGAAGCTTCCACAACATTCTTGCTTTTGAGAAGCAGAACCTGTTCCTACAGAATTTGACTCAACAATTCCAGAACCTGAAGGCACTCTCAACACTTCTGGAAAAAGTTCTTCATCCTCCTAAATAAATGTCAGCATGGCAATATTCAGACATGAACTGAAAGAGAGTATCATTCGGCTGCAAATCTATTGAAGTCTTTGAAAGGAAAACGTTGCAAAGATATATAAAGCGCACTAAAAGATGGATATGGGAAGATTGGTAACGTATAGGCGGTATAGCTTAACTTTATGCCCTCTTTAGTAACCACATGAATTGAATGGTGACAGAGCTAGGGAAAAATTTAGTAAGCTAACTTGCAAATATATAGGCATTAACCAAAATAACTAGCTTTGGCCAAGTGAAGCTTTAAGTGAAAGCAAAAACAAGGGGTTAACCTTTACCGTTGCAGGCTGATCATTCGAAGCACGGTCATCTTGGTATGAATGCCAGCCACTATTATCACCATTGGTACAGGAAATTACCCCATTACCTTTCATTGACCTGGGAGTCTCTGTCAGATTTGCAGCATAAACCAGGGAAGAGTTTGCAGATGCAGCCGGAGGGGGAACCACATAATGCTCAAGATCAAGTTCTAGACTTGACGAATATCCATTCTGCAGACATGCTTTGAATGGGATTAGTATGTCAAGGATATATCCACTTAAGAGGAAAACAAATACAAGTTAGTACTCCAGAATTAATAGACTAAAACCTGCCTCATTGCCAATCTCCTCACTGGAGTTGATACAAACATCTGGTATCCCTCGAACAGCTGAAGGCTTGCGATTCTCCTGAAAAGCCCTCCAACTGGCAGCAAGGTCAAACGGAGACACCCTATCAGCCTTAATGTAAACTTTGAACTCAATAACCTCTTCTTCATTCAACTTAAACAGAGCAGACCGGCCATCCCCTTGCAATGCTCCCCCAGTTAACACACGGTTCACACCCTCCTCAACTAAACACGGTCCACAGTTATGCTTCGGCTTTAGCAAGAACTTGAAATCCAATGTCTCTATATATGATCACACACACAGACTAATTGTGGGTAACTCTACAAACCCGACGAATTCGGACACCTGAAGTTGGTAATATAGCATACTAAATAACTAACCATGATTTGGCGGCACTACGAAGCTCAATTCCCAGGTGGAGGCCGATTCGAGCACCATTTGAAGCTGTTAGTTTTTGTTTTCACATTTATATTCACATACAGACAATGAAATAGAAATCAAATGATCAAGTATTGTGAAGCGAGGGGAAGAGGAAATTGAAGCGATAGGAAATGACGAAGATATTACGGCTTTGGAGGAGTCCCAGGAGCCGACGAGAGGGACGGAGCCGAAGACGTGAGGGAGGAGGTCGGGTTTGAGCTTGAGGTCGAAGTTCTCCATTTTCAGAGACACGAAGAGCTGGGCGCCGCCGTGGGAGGCGGCGCTGTCGGGAAGCTTCGATGTACCGGACCCCATGTGTAAGCAAACTCTGGGACGGAGGGATTGTTAGAGTTGGGTGAAGATTTTACAGTGGAATGGAGACGATGAGAAGGAGAGAGGTTGGGGATAGAGCGAGCGAGGGATAATGGGAAAAGGTTTTGTCATTTATCTCTTGCCTCAGAGTATGGGCCCAGTTGGCCGTTGGAAGCGGGGCCATGCCGCCAGGCGGACGCGCGGCGCCTAGTCCACACAATTTACACCATGCTTAAAATATTGCAAACAAATATACCAAATTTTTTTGTTAAATATTTTTGGTTTATTTGTCTAGTTTGATTTTTTAAATTAAATTAAATAAACTTTAATCATCAATTGCTGTAACTATTGGTAGAATGAAATAAAATTTGAAAACTTTACTTAAATAATACTAAAACATAACGATTTTCTCTAAATAACATCATAAATGTTTTTTTTCTAATCTAACATTTTTAGTCATTATATATTAGTTATTATTTAAGTAAATGTTCGTCATTACTTGAACATTATTTCTCTTTCAGAACATTATTAAGTGTTATTTAGGAAATAAAATAATTTAAATGTTATTTAAGGAAATGATTAAAGTTTTTGTACTATTTAATATAAATATTTCATAAAAATTTAAAAATCAAAACAATATTATGCCCCGTTTGGTACATAGAATTCAAACTATGAAGTTAGAATTGAAGACTTCAATTCTAATTCTAGTGTTTGATAGCACAAAAATTATGTGGATTTGGAACAAATGGAACAAAAAATGAATTAGAATGGGTGTGATCTAATCTATGGAATTGAATCACATGAATATTCAGATCAATTCCATCAATTCCATTCAACCAAAGGGACCCTTAATCTAAATAAAATCATTTAGGCCCGTTTGGTACATGGAATTCAAATCATGGAATTGAAATTGAGGACTTCAATTCTAATTTTGAAAAAATTACTCCTTCCGTCCTAAAATTAATTTCTCATTTTGACTTTTATAGTCAAATTTTTTAAACGTTGACCGCATATTACGGAAAAAGTATATTGAATTTTCATATAAATTTGTTAGCAATAGATTCATTTTGAAACATAGTTTTAAAATATATAATTTTTATAAAATATATTTATATAAAAATTGAGATATTGATGGTCAAAGTGTCGCATTGGAGACCATAAAAAGTCAAATGAGAAGTTAATTTTAGAACGGAAGAAGTATGTGAATTTGGAATAATAGTGAAATAATAGCAGAATTCAATTCTATGACATTTTTAACCGCAATATTGGACATTTGGACTCTAATCGAGAATTTGACCCATTACCGTTGCTCGTTCTCCGCTTCTCGGCGGCGGTTGAGACGCACAGATTTGGAAACAGCGATATTGGAGACTCTAACCGAGGGCTAAGGTACGTCGGCCAGTCCATTTTCTTCCTCCGATTCGGAATTATCAGTTCTTCAGTCACAGACATCATTAGTTATCATTATATTGTTCGATTGCAGTGGAAGAAGAAGCGCACGAGGAGATTGAAGAGGAAGCGCCGAAAGATGAGACAGAGGTCCAAGTAGATCGCTATTTACAATCATCTTCCCCAGCTGTTTATTTTGTGTTAAGTAGTAATTGCATATGCCGCTGTTGATTGTTGTCTTGAAGTAAACTCAATTCTCCATCGCACTAGTTATCAGTATCGTGACATTTGCAACTTAAGTATCCCTTTCTTAAAAAGTATATATTCAAATATATGGATGCATTGTTATTATTAGATAAATGTATTGCTGTTTCTATGGTCTGAAGCTGTCATGTGGAAGTCTGGATTTAGCTGGTTTGATCTGGAAGCATTTTGTTTATTACTAAATCTAATTGGATTCGAGGTTAACTTGACTATGGTATGAATACTTGAATGTGAGAGTGTCACCTAAATAACTATAGGGTAGAACAGACTATAAGGTTTTTAAATTTGAATGGCTGGGTCATGTAGTGAAGTTCCAAACCATGGACAGTTCTAGACCAATTAAACTACCCGGTTTTAGTTCCCAAACTACTAGTCTTGTTCGGTTTGTTGTTAACATGGGACTGTGGTCTGGTCCAGTGTCATGTTCTAAAGGAACATGGATGCATTGATTCTTTCATGTGGCCATACAAGCAATTAGAATGAAAAAGTTGGGTATAAATATAAATCTGGCAGGGTTTCATTTTTATAACTTATTGTTGTAAGTAGATCATACCCCATGCTACACGGTTGAGAGGGTGTTTTTTGGTGCTAGCGTGTTTATTAGCTTATTGCTGATTAGCAGTTTTTAATGTTTAAGTTGCTATAAGTTAAATATTCATTCGTCGAAATAAAATGACAAATGATAGATAAGTCATTTGGGGATATTCATTAATGGTGAGGGATAGTTTTGTAAATAATCTAGTCTAAACAGAGAAACGAAAAAACTAGTTTAAAATAAGTAGGTAAGACCTACTTATTTTTTTGACATATAAGCAACTTACAAGTCAGTTTATAAGCACAGAAAAACATGTCATTAGCTGACTTATAAGTTAAAAAATAGCTTATAAGCAGTTTTGACTAGCTAATAAGTATAGAGAAACACCCACCGAATTTAATTCAAATGAGCTTTTCAAAAAGCACAACATACTCAGGTTTTGAATTCGTAGAACTGGTAAAAGAAATCTGCATAGTAGAAATATTAGAAGAAATGGTTGTGCCAAACTGAGAATAGAAATGTGGAACAAAGTATTATTTATTAGAAGACATGCTAGAGCACATACCAAAGTGGTTAACATGGACTGAAAAACAGTGTACGTTACATGTTATTTTTCTTACAATCAGAATTTCTCGAGGTCCAAATTACAGATGTTGCAGTAATGGCAGCATTTTGAAAATCAGTGGTGCTAGCCTGCTAGGTACACACCCTCCCAGCCACACCCTCTCTCACACGAGGGTGGGTCGTGTGAGAGAAGGTAAGCAGTTTGCACCTAACATTTTTGTTTGAGAATTTCACGGTCCCCATGAAACCTATCGGCTTTTATGATTTATGCTGATGGATTTCAGGCCTTCAAATGCCTTCACAGTTTCTGTATTGAATCCTCCTGCAAACTGTGTTTTTGGTGTCAGTTATTGTTTTGCCATATTAGAACTAACAAAGGGAGATACACCAGGGATATTATATTTCTTTGCATCTCAGAAGATAAACTTGATGAAGAGCTAATAGACTAGTAATGTATTGATGTATGTACCTGATGAACTCTATACGCAAATCGAACTCCATGAAGAATAAGGTCTCCTCTTTGATGGGGCTCACGACATTTCAACTCATTAGTTATCTTTCCCATATACTGCTTTGCTAATCCCAAAGAACTTAATTTCAACTGCAGAATGGGTTTTGTTTTGTATGAGGCTTTTCTTTTTTTGCAGATAAATACATGAACACATCAAGTCATCAACAGAATGGTTACCTGACCAACAAATCCAGATTCCAGCATCCATGCCCAAGGTATTTGAAGCTCTCTATATCGCTTGCTTGTTCCTTCTCGAACCCTCTCCACATTGCCAACACTTCTTTCCAATCTGAGCAGATTTACCCAAAACTTCAGAGTTTCTACCGTGTAACTCAATATATAGATCAAACCCTTCAACATTTTGATAAATATACACATTAACACATACAAACCATCATATAGCTTATAATTTTGGAACTCTAAACCCGAATATCTGCCATCTATTTCTCACAAACTTGCCTGTCTTGTAGTGTTTGGATCTTTCTGAGGGACTGTAAGATTTGTTGTTTCGGGTTGTCCTTGAAAGATAGAATCTCGGACTCAAGGTTCTTTAACTCCTTGTAAGTGCAAGCCGCTTCCCTCAATGCGTCTTCTTTTCTTTCGGGCCACTTGGGGAAGTGCTTTAGGACTGCCCTTTCATCCACCAAGCAGGTAAGTTCTCCATCCAGCCATTTCACAAAGCTTTCAACTTCTGAGATCTCTGCAAATGCTGCTGCGTCCACTTCCCTCGACAAGCCTTCTATAAATTCTCCATGTGTCTCCACATCTGTTTTTATCTGCACTCGAAGAATCGTTATCTTAGCCTGGTGAAGAAACATTTCAAATACAGGAGAATCTGTTTAGGATTGATATGAATAACACGAGTCTAACAGCAAGAAGATGCGAAGATCGGTTTTCAATCTCTCCGATCATGTTCTTGGGATTCAAAGCTGCACTGCATGATACTACTGCATTACTCCTTTCCTTCTGAGCATCCCTCTTCACAAGTGACCGGTATAACTCTATCAGCTCAGGTACGCGACGTAGGGCTTTCGCGCCACCCCCCTTGGACGAAGGTGGTGGTGGGGGCGGTGGTGCTGGGCCTGCTGTCAACTTATTACTAGTACCAGGTTTCTGTTGAAGCTGACACGATGACTGCGTTTTCATTTCTTGTTTGTTTGCAGGTTCCAACGCTGTTTCTTTGGATTTCAGCTCCGTGGAATTCTCCAGCTTCTGCTTCCCCAACATGGTGTTCCTCTCAACATCATGTGACTTGAATGGCTTGTTAACCTGTGACCTGAGACGAGCTGTTTCTCGTCTCAGTTCCTGATTTTCTTTCTCGAGACTGCTGATTCTTGCAAGCGAAGCTTCAAACTCTCTCTTGAGATGGTTGATCATCGTGGATTCACCCTCTCCGAACAACATCTCTTCTCAGCTCCCCTTCTGCTAAAAAAAGCTCAAGAGGTAAGTGATCCGTCTTACTCTTCACTTAAATCCTTACTTGAAGTATTTGTGGCTTCTCCCTTGCGCGCGCACACATTTGTAAAACTTTTGGAGTAAGTAAACGGGCCCACAAGAGTAGGATAATTATATAGATGTGGTCGGTTCGGAAGAATAGAATCTTGAGAAATATATGTCTGGTAATGGAATCTGGGTTTTTACACATACCTACAGAAGGTTATTCTGTGCTTGTGAAACAATGGACTCCAAAGCAGAAAAAGAGGTAAATAAAAGGTAAAACATTCAACTCTAAGTACATTTAGGGGCTGTTTGGCAACTTCTGAATGGGTAAGTGCTGAATCAGTAAGAGGTCTGAACCATTAAGTGCTGAACCAGTAAGAGATCTGA